CGCTGGGTTGCGAAGCTGCCCACAGCCTCTGCAGCTCCAGTTCGATCCCCGGCTGCTCCCTGGCCACCGGAGGAGGGTCCCACATGGCGCGCAGACCTCTCCTGCCGCCACTGCTCCCCCCACCAGTGTACTTCAGTCCTTCTGCCTGCTCTGCTCCCCACTCTGGCTCTGGTGAATTCTCTCACCCTCCCACGCTTCTGATTGTACCCAGTGCTTGTATAAATAAATAAATAAATCTTTAAAAAAAAAAAAAGATTTATTTATTTATACAAGAACCGGGGTACAGACCAGATGCTCCAGAGGGTGAGAGGACTCACCAGAGACAGAGTGGGGAGCAGAACAGGCAGAGGTGACGAAATACACTGCTGAGGGGAGCAGCGGGCGAGGCAGGAGAGGTCTGCTGTGCCACGTGGGACCCTCTCTGGCTGGCCAGGATCGAACCCGCACTGCGGAGGCTGCGGGCAGCTTCACAGTGCGGTGCTCAACCACCTGCGCCACCAGGGGAGGCCCGAACCCAATTTTTTTTAATGAGCATTATTTAGACACTTCACCAAGGAAGACATAAGTATTGTAGCTAAGCACGTAAAAAGATATTCAACATCAACAGTCATTGGCAAAATGTAAAATAAAGTGAGACACCAATACATATCCCCTGAAATTGCTTTTAAAAAATACCAGGGGCCTCCCTGGTGGCGCAAGGGGTTAAGCACCGCACTATGAAGCAATCCCAAGCCTCGGCAGCACAAGTTGGATCCCTGTCCAGCCAGGGAGCAACCCACATGGTGAAGCAGACCTCTCCTGTTTCGCCCGCTGCTCCCCTCAGCAGTGTACTTCAGTCAATCTGCCTGTTCTATTCCCCACTCTGTCTCTGGTGAATCCTCTCACCCCCAGCATCTCTGGCCTGTACCCCAGCTCTTGTATGCATAAATAAATAAATCTTTAAAAATAAAATAAAAATACCAGGTGCTGACATAGATATGGAATAATCAGAACTCCCATAATTTTCAGATGGAAATACAAAAAGGTATTATACTTTGGAAAAGTTTAACAACTTTAATAAAGTTAAACATATACTAACAATACTATCCAGCAATTCCACTCCAAGTTATATACATGTATACATAAATGAAATGAAAACATGTTCACACAAAACCCTCTAAGCAAATGTTTCTAGCAAATGTTTCATTTCCAATAGCGAAAAACTGACAATCCGTATGTCCTAAAACTAATGAATAATTGAATAAACTATGGCATTAAAATACAATTCAGTGCTACTTATTAATAAAAGAAACTCAGACACACAACAACAGACAGAAATATCAGAAATACTCTAGCTGAAAAGTTATGCAATGTATGACTTCATTTATAGAACATTCCGGCAAAGGCAAAATCATAGAAAGAAAAAATCTGAGTCCAGCTATTAGTTGTGGAAGAAGCAGTTTACTACAAAGTCAAAATGAATTTTTGAGGATGATTAAGTTTACAGGTTCTAATCTTACAAAGATCAATCTATTTCTTGATTGTGATGATGGTAGTTATATGACTCATTTGTCAATACTCCCAGAACCTTACATTTTAAAAATGTGGAATTTACTATGTGTAAACTATACATTAATTATGATGTAAACATTGGTCAAAACAAAACTGAAATATCTTTATAATTTTTACAAAGTAGACTTCCAATAAGGAATACTATCGGGAATTGAAGAGGGACATTACACAATGATAAAGAGGTCATTTTACTATGGAATCTAAAAAATCCTAAACGTATATACATACAACAACAGATCTTCAAAATCAACAAAGTGAAAATTGATAGACCTGAATAGAAACTGACAAAGCCACTGTTACATTTGTGTATCTCAACACTCTTCTCTCATTAAGGATTTTAGTTATCAGTATTAGCAAAAATATTAATATCAGTTTCAATAAGTACATAGAAAAATAACACAATCAGACAACTTGACCTACATTTATAGAATACTTCATTCAAAAGAGGCAGAATACACATTCTTTTCATGACACGTGAATATTCACCAACATAGACCATATTCGGCAACATAAAACAAGCCATATAAAATATGTTCTCTACCAACAACAGAATTAAACTACAAACCAAAACCAAAAAGATATCTGGGAAAATGCCCAAGATATGGAAATTAATCAACACCTTTCATAATATATGGGCAAAAGGGGAACACAAATTTTTTTAAAGATTTATTTATTTATGCATACAAGAACTGGGGTGTAGGCCAGGGGTGGGGTGTGGGGAGGTGAGAGGATTCACCAGAGACAGAGTGGTGAGCAGAACAGGCAGATCTACTGAAATACACTGCCGAGGGGAACAGCAGGCGAGACAGGAGAGGTCTGCTGTGCCATGTGGGCAGCTCCCAGGCTGGGGATTGAACTCATGTTGCAGAGGCTGCAGATAGCTTCATAGCGCAGTGCTTAACCCCTTGCACCACCAGGGAGGCCCCGGAACACAAATTTTTTTAAATGGAATTGTATAAAAGTTGAGTGTGACATTTCAAATGTGGTTAAACCAGTATATAGGGAAATGTAAAGTACTAAAAGCTTATAACAGAAAAGAATTTCAAATCAATGATCTAAGTTTCTACCGTAAGAAACTGAAACAGGAGTCTGTTTAATTCAGCAAATTAAACACAAGAAAATATTAAAAAAAACCCAGATATCAATGAAATCAAAACAGAAAAGCAATAGAGAAAAAAAAATCAAAAGCTGGTTCTTTGATAAGATCCATAAAAAGTATAAAACTCTAGAGACTCCCTAGTGGCCTAGGGGTTAAGTCTCAGCCGACCCACCTCGATGGCCCACAACATAGCATGAGTTCAAGCCCCAGCCAGGGAGCTAACCCACATATGGTGTCCTGTCTCGCCTGCTGCTCCCCTTAGCAGTGTATTTCAGTAGATCTGCCTGTGCTGTAACCCACTGTCTCTGGTCAATCCTCTCATACCCCCGCACCTCTGGCCTACACCCCAGTTCTTCTACACAAAAATAAGTAAAATCTTAAAAAAAAAAAAAAAAGTATAAACCTCTAGCCAGTCTGATCTAGAAACAAAAAGCAAAGACATAAATTACTAAAATCAGAAACAGAGGGAATATCACTACAGATCTTATATACATTAAAAGGAAAATATAAGCATATTAAGAACTTTAAGCTAATGAATTTGACAACTGAGATAAAATTTCTTTGAAACAAAAACATTACCAAAACTTTCCTTAAAGAAATATATAACCCAAATATTCCTACACCTATTAAAGAAATTGAATCAGTACTTAAAACCTTTCAACAAAGAAAAACCCAGGCCAGGATTGTTTCACTGTCACATTTCAGCCAACACTTAAGAAAGAACACCAATTCTACATAACACTTTCTAGGAAACAAAATAGTTTCTAGGTCATTTTGAGGCCTGCCTGATCCTGATACCAAAAACAGACAAAAGCATCACAAAACAATAAAACTGTAGACCAACATACCTCATGAATATAGATGCATGAATAAAATATTAGCAAATTGAATCTAGCAATATACAGAAAGGTTAATATCTCAGTGCTACATGAGGTTTATTCTATGAATGCAAAGTTGGCACAAGATACCAAAATTCAATGTAATTCACCCTGTCAATAGATAAAATTATGGGTTATGAAATCCAGAAATTAAGGGCAGATTATACCCTTAGTATTTGAGAAACCCACATTATTACCCTACACACCTCTAAAGGTATCATTTATATTGTAATCACTGTAGTCTACATGAATACCTCTGCCATTGTGCAGTACAGTAGTATTGCAAATACATGAAATGGTTGCCCAAAGGCAATACACCCTCCAAATTGACTAACAAATAAAAAATCCAGATAAAGAAATTTTTGCCTTCCAGACATTCTACTTGGCCCTGTTCACACCAGACGTTTAATATTCTACTTAGTCCTGAATTCTATACTTCTAAAAGGGCCAACAATCTCACCAAAGAGCCAAAGCAATAATGGCAAAGGAATTCTAAATTCCCATAAAATGATGGGAGAGACAATCACAATACCACTAGCCCCGCTTAGCTAGTCAATTTATCACTTCATTTAATCACCAGGATGATTTCTCACAGCAAGACAATAACTCAAGATTACACCGGAAATGGTGTAAAATGTAATTTTGCTAATATCTAACACAATTGCTCATACATCTAAATTTCACAAATTATTAATGTACCGCTCTTTCAATGAAAATAAATTCCTAAAAGGCAGTATTTTTGACATACATTATAATTTCATAAAGTAACAGAAATACCCCAAGTAAACAATTACTAGCAAAATCAACTCTAAAACTCTTATCAAGGAAAAAAAAAAAAACATACTGCAAAAGCATGTATAGCTTGGTAACTTTTCAGGTGTGCAGACAAGAAGTACACACAAAACCACTACACTCAGCCTCAGTTTCCTCATCTAGAAAATAATAACTTAATTAAATAATACAATAGATGATTTCTTTACCTTGCCTGACAAGTAGCAAGAATACCCAACCCGTTAGACGTGGGAAAATAGTCAATACAATCACCTAATGCAAACCCTCCTATGTCTTTCTAGGCTAGCAAATTAAGGAATTCTATTCCTGTAAACACTATGATTTTAAAGCACAGTCCTTCAGTTAGGCTTTTCAGACGCAATTTTCATTAAACCTCACATTTATTTAACATATACATAAGACTGAGAACTATTATCTACTATGGAAACTTTTGAGTCGCTTCTCCACAAATAGAAAATAAGCACACATTTATATAACAACAAAATAAACCATTTAAACATTTATAGGTAAAAACTATTTCCAAATATCTAACAACTCCATAAAAGCTAGATGTGGCACAGCATTTATACTATTACTGTTTTCCCAACACTCACATTTTGAAAAGCTCTAATGCATATAAAACAAAAAATAATCAAGAGAAATTATACAAATATACATACACAATGAAATTACATACAGACCTTTTTTCAGCTGAGGTTTTTGAGATTCAGAAGATGCAGGAAACTGTGTTTTCTGAAATGAAAGAAGTCTGCATTAAAACAAGGTTATATGGGCCTACTTGGTGGCCTAAGGGTTAAGTCTCAGTGCTATCACCACTATGCTTGCCTTGGATCCCAGCCAGGGAACCCTCACATGGCGCAGTAGACCTCTCCTGTCTCATTGGCTGCTCCTCTCAGCAGTGTATTTCAGTAAATCTACCTGCTCTGTTCCCCACTCTGTCTCTGGTGAATCCTCTCACCCACTCCCCTCAGCACCTCTAACCTGCACCCAAGTTCTTCTACATAAAAATTAAAAAAAAAAAAAACTACTGCATGAATATTGTCAATCCACAAAACACTCAAATAACAATCAGTAGCTCTCCAACTATGCAGTAAATTGCATATAGGCAGAATTATTTTGAATATAATTTAAGAGACAAATTTCAAGTTTTACTTTTGCTATCCAAACTCTCAATAATGTATAATGCATATTTAAAATACATATTTATAAAGTTATAACACATGATGAAACGTGCACAAATAAAAGTACTGAGTTCTTAGACATTACATATTAGTATCACACTCAATGGCATACCTGGCAGTGGCCAAACAAAAAGTGTTAACTTTAATAAAAGGAAACTTATGAAGTCCCTACATAGAAACTGTCTAGCATTCAATTCTAGGAGAGATTTTTTTCTAAAGGGACCTTATTTAATACAATAAATACAATCTTACACGATAACTTGCAGAAAATCTTCAAATAGATTTTTTTATACATACCACCTATGATATAATACAAGCAAGAATAATGATTGAAAGTTTCTAGAAATAACGAGAGGACCCTCCCTGATGGCCTAGGGGTTGTCTCAGTGCTACCACAGAAGGACTGTGAAGGCCCACCCCGAGAGCCTGGGTTGGATCCCTGGCCAGGGAGCTGACCCACATGGGGCAGCAGACCTCTCTTCTCACCTGCCGCTCCCCTTAGTAGAGTATTTCAGTTGATCTGCCTGTTCTGTCCCCACTCTGTCTCTGGTGAATCCTCTCACCTCCCACACCTATGGCCTGCACCTCAGTTCTTCTATGCAAAAATAAATAAATAAATAATCCTTAAAAACAAAAACAAAACAGAAGTAACAAGAAATGTTAATATTTAGATACCGGATGCGCAACAAATTCTGAGTAGGTTAATGAAAAAACACATTACAGGACCTACACCAGAGAAAACAAGAAGTACTTGAAAGCAACACCCCCCAAAAAAGGTATCATCAGATTACCTACAAAAAAAGGACAATTAGATTGACAGCTGACTTCTCACTAATTAAAACTGGAAGTCAATATCACATTGAGACATTATAAGAATGATTATTAACAAGTATCAGGTTTAAGTAAAATGAATGTTAATCTAGACACAAAGTCAACAAACTGTGATCTATAGTTCAAGTCTAGCCTATTTTTACACAAACTAAGAATAGTTTTTACTTTTTTTAATGATTGAGAGAAATAAATTAATATTTTGCCAACACAAAGTTCAAATTTTAGTGTCTATAAGCAAATATCTCTCTGAACACAGTCACAATCAGATGCTTACATATTGCTTTCACACTACAACTGCACAGTTAATTGTGAGAGACTATCTCACCCACAAAGCCTAAAGAAATCATATCTACAAATCAATAATAAACAATGAAATAGGAAAAAAAGCAAAATACATGAACCAGGAAAAAGGACAACCAATGGTGCTCAAACTCATTAATAATCAGGGAAATGTAAATCAATACCACATTATGGCATCACTTAGTATCTATCATGTTGACAAAATTTAAAGATATATCAAAGAAGTATGCAACAGAAACTGGGTAGTTGAAGCATAAATTATCACAATCACAGTAGTTTCCTGTAAGAATATTTCTGAGACACTCTTCTAAATTTTGCACCCTAAGCACTACCTTTGCCTTTCCTAGCAAAAAGTGGTTGGTGGGGGGAGGGGGTTGAGAGAAATGTGAAGGTGGTGAAAAGAGTAAACACTTTCAGTTTGAGGAAAGAGTCTAAGAGCTCATTTATAACGCGGTGAACTACTTGACATTTGCAAAGTATTCTTACCAAAAAAAAAAAAGTATATATCTTTGAGGTGACAGATGTGTTAATTAATTCAATAGAGAAAATCCTTTCAACAGGTGTATGTACACCAAATCATCATGTTCTACACTTTAAATATTTCACAACACTGTCATCTAAACCTCAATGAAACTGAAAAAAAAATCAATCTATTAGAATGGATAAAGTTATTATAATATTTTCCTTAATGGGAATTATACAGCAGTGAAAATAACATTAAGGAACATTAATAAAAAGCAATATATTGCTTGGGGTATTAAATATGGTAAAACTATAAATAAAAGAACAATTAACATAAAATTGAGGAAGAGATTACTTCTGATGGGAAAGGAGGAAAATGCAGTAGGGGGGAAAACGTTTAGGTTTCAAAGTGATTATTAATGACAACTTCTTCACCTGTGAGGTAGGAAAACAAGTTTCCATTATATTGTTCTGTAAAGCTTATACATAACCTTTTTTTAAATTCTTACAAAAGACATATTTCATAACAAAAATTAATCCTCAAAATAAAAGAAAATGTGTAAATTTTTAGCTAATTTATTATCTTGTTTTAACAAAGACAAAAACAGTAACACCCATTTAAAAATGGATGAAAGATTTGTAGGCACACTTTACCAAAATAATGAATGAATGCACACATAAAAAGATACTCAACATTATTTGTTAGGGAAATACAAATTACAACCATAATAACCACCATGACATATCCAGCAGAAAGGCTTAAATAGACTCGCAATACTAAGTGCTGACAAGGATATGGAAAACTGAAATCCACACGTGCATTGCACAGGCAAGTTAAAATGGCAGCCACTTTAGAAAAGATTTTTTAGTTTTAATTTTTTGTTTTTGTTTTTCATACACACTACCCCAGAAATTCTAATTCCACTCCTAGAGAAATGAAAACATATCCATACAAAGATTTCTATGCCAAAAATTTCCATTTTTCTATCTCTATTTATAGAGAGCTTTCCTAACAGCCAAAATTGTGAAACAATCCAAAAATTCATGAATTGCTACATTTAAAAAAGTGTATATTCTTATAAATACTGCTTAGAAATAAAAAAGAACAAACTACTGCTGCATACAATATAGATGAACCTCAAAGAACATGCTAAGTGAAAATAAGATACATAAGACTATATGATTCCATTATAGAAAATTGCTAGAAAAGGCAAAACTATCAAAACAGAAAGATAATTGGTGAGTGGTGACAAATGTACAACAATATAAAATTACTAAAACTAAGCATACACTTTAAATGAGCAAATTTCATGATACATGTATTATACTTCAAGCTGTTTCTGAAATGCCAAAGACCTTTTAATCTAACTCGGTTTGTTTTTTTAACTTTGGGGAACTTACTAAGAATCTTTTTTTTTAAATAATAAATTTTATTTTTATATTCCCCATACAATTGCTACCCCCCAATTCTGACCCCAATCCCTCCCCTCCCGCCCCCCCCACCCCCCAAAAAGTGTCTCTGGTTCATAGTTTTTTGTTGATTTTGATTTTTACTTTCTTATAGTTATTCATTTTCCTGGTCCCTTATTTAAGTTTTCTAGATTCCTGCTATGAGTGAGACCATCCTAAGAATCTTAAAGGCTCAAAAAGCATCTTCATGGGCCTCCCCAGTGGCGCAGCGGTAGAGCGCTGGGTTGCAAAGCTGCCTGCAGCCTCTGCAGCGCCGGTTCGATCCCCGGCTACTCCCTGGCCACAGGAGGAGGGTCCTACATGGGGCGCAGACCTCTCCTGCCGGCCCGCTGCTCCCCTCAGCAGTGTACTTCGGTCCTTCTGCCTGCTCTGCTCCCCGCTCTGGCTCTGGTGAATTCTCTCACCCTCCCGCACTTCTGACTGTACCCAGCGCTTGTATAAATAAATAAAAATCAAAAAATAAATTAAAAAAAATTTTTAAAAAGGCATCTTCATAAGTGAACAAACCTTATTTATACATAAAAGAGAGTTAAATTGTACTTATTGTGCGTCTTTCTCAGACTTTCCAGAACTTTGAAATGGAAAGCATTCAAATTGCTCAATCTCATTCATAAGTAGGCTGTTATGCAGAAGTCATTATTTTTTTTGGTTTTTTCTTAATTTGTATGTATTCCTCTAACAAATATTCATATAACACTTGATACATGCCAGGCATTATATATGAACCAAATCAATTAGTGCAGTGATAATTTTTACTTTCTGTCCTGAAAGGTTTAATCTTTCAAATAACAGAGACAAGCATTTATACAAACACATCAAATAGTGGAAATTAAGGTACTATAAAATATTTTATACATATAAACCATGGAAACCAGAGCTGTTTGCTTAGTTTTGCTTTTAATATCTCAACCATTTTTATACATTCCTCAATAAAATATAAATAACAGTCCCCAGTTTGCCTAAGTAACTAAGAGTAATCATTAGTTCTCACAGCATTTTATAATATCTGTGTGTTCAACATTGGCCTAGCTTCAGTCCATTTGCTGGATGTCTCCCAGTCAAGGCATTCACTGCAGTGTTCTGAGAATTTCATGTATGCATTTCTTCAAAGTGCTATGAGTTCGAGGTCTTTTAGTCTTCTCCCCTCCACCTCCATAAATCCATTTATACAGATTGATGTGTTTTTTAGGTGTGTAACAAAATTTAGTTCACACAACATACCCTTATTCCACATGTAGCTTTTTTAAAAACATGTGTATGTTCACTTGGAAATCCCTCCAAGTGAACATATAGTTCTAACATTCTTTTCATGGCTACATAACATTCTTAGGTATGAAAAGAACAGATGTCAATCATTATCCTAATAACAGGACTTCACTAATTTCCAGGTTTTTTTCAACTATCATCACTACTATAATGAATGCCCTGCACTACAATGCATGTGTTTCACTTAGAAGGATACAGGTCTAGAAGTGGAATTGCTAGGTCCTTTTAATTTTATTACAAACTGCCAGCTCACTTTCAAAGACAGCAAAAGTTCAAATTTCCACACAGATGAAATTACTGTAATTATAACACTGATAAATCATGAAAACAGTTAATTTTAGCCTCAAGTGCTAAAGTCATATTGAAACAAAAAAGCCATTACCTTTAAAACATACAAGATTAAAAAGTACAGGAAATTCTGCCATCACAGAAATCAAGTTCATATTAGGCCACATGAACACTTAGCTATACCTGCAATGACTATTGAAGAGTATTTGTAGCAATGTCATGTTATCATTACACCTTATATTTAAAATTACGTAAGGGAAATATTTTCTTTGGTATGTTTCCAATATTTAAAATCTAGTAACCGGGGCCTCCCTGGCAGCACAAGGGGTTAAGATGCAATCCATGAAGCTATCCGCAGCCTCTGCAGCATGAGTTCCACCCCCACCTGGGAGCTACCCACTGGTGCAGCAGACCTCTCCTGTCTCCCCCTATCTCTCCCCTGAAGCATTGTGCTTCAGTCAGTCTGCCTGTTCTGCTCTCCACTCTGTCTCTGGTAAATCCTCTCACCGCCCCCCCCACTCCTCTGGCCTGTACCCCAGTTCTTGTATGCATAAATAAAACTTTTTTTAAAAAAATAAATAAGGGCCTCCCCAGTGGCGCAGCGGTTGAGCGCTGGGTTGCGAAGCTGCCCGCAGGCTCTGCAGCGCCGGTTCGATCCCCGGCCGCAGGGCGAGGGTCCCACATGGCGCGCAGACCTCTCCTGCCGCCCGCTGCTCCCCTCAGCAGTGTACTTCGGTCCTTCTGCCTGCTCTGCTCCCCGCTCTGGCTCTGGTGAATTCTCTCACCTTCCCACGCTTCTGACTTACCCAGTGCTTGTATAAATAAATAAATTTTTTAAATAAATAAAATAAAATCTAGTAACCCTAATCAGGCCATTTAACTTTTTTTTTAATTCATAGCTTAACAAAAACCTTTCCTTGGGGCTTCCTCTGGATTCTGTTTTCTGAGTACACTAAAAATGATTTGATCTCTCTACAAATGAAAAGAGAATA